AGGGATGATTTTAAGAAAATTTTAATTGACACACAGCTTCCAATATTTGGCTTTTAATTTGGTTTTATGGGTTTTTTTTGTTTTTTGATGTATTTTGTTTGTATCTGTTTTAATATGCTGTGCACCGCCCTGAGTCCTACGGGAGAAGGGCGGTATATAAATTAAATTATTATTATTATTATTATTATTATTATTATTAAGTCCTGGGAAAGTTATTTCTTCCCTTATTCGCCTTACCCCTATTAAATCAAAGGCATGAACCACGTGGTTTGGGGCATATCTAACAAAGTATTATATATAATGAGGCCAAAATATTATCTTAATCTCCACTTCAGACTAAACACTTGCATGAATGTATTACATTATGATATTCACATTATCTTATGTGCTGAAGAGGTTTTATTTTTAAGCTTTAAAACCTAGCAGTCACTTACATTGCTCCATCACTACACAGTACTTTGTGTGCATGTAAATATTTCAACAAATCCTTCTTGGGGAATGAGCTTTGTTATTTGCCAATCATTCTTACCTTGTAGCACATTTTATTTTAAAAATGTGGGCTCCATCATGAATTACTCGTGTTTGATACTGGGTCTTTCTACACATTGGACAGCTCTTTTTAGCTGCGAATCTTTCAAAAGCTTTCAGGCATGCCTGGAAAAAAATGATTAGTTCTAGCTGTAAACCTGTTTGAACTTAGTTTGCCCCTCTCCAAGATTTATGAATATCAATGCAAAGTTATATGTCCAGAGTTTGTAGATTCAGGAAAGACAATAGCATCATGGAAGGCATCTTAAAGGTCATCTAGTACTATCCCACACTCAGTGCACAAAGTGTCTCTCGTGGATGACCATCCAGCCACACTATTTGAAGAATTCTAGTGAAGAAAAAAAATCAGAATTTCCACATGGCAACCTGTTCCACTAGCTGACTCTATTTGTGTTTGTGTGTGCGTATGCGTGTGTGTAGGAATAAACTTCACAAACAAATAATGTTGTAGCAAAACTGTTCTAAGGCTTCATTTCTATGCTAAAAGGAAGACAGCAGGTTTAACATTCTTGTTTATCTTCACATGCATAGATGCACAACAAGTTAGTTTAACACCAACAATTGTGAAGCTATATGCAGATACGATTATTTATTTTAGAAAATGTATACTGCCACCTATCTTACATATGAAACTCTGGACAGATAACAAAATTTAATAAAAATAATATAATAAAGCATCTAAAAAGAAAAAGAAAAACCTCTTAAAATAATAAAACCACAATAATCAAGGCACTTTATAACAAGCTCATCTGTATATACCATGCCAAATGGGGCTCAGCTAGCAGCTTTCCAAAAAGTCAAAAGAATTGGGAGCATCCAGATCTCATATGGGGTGGCTGTTCCATGGGGCAGGAGGCTCACATCTCTATCACCACAGATGACATTCTTTAATAGAGTATCCTTGAAACATACCGGTTGGATCTGGTGGGTGAGCAGAAGTCCATGGAGACAGGTGATCCTGCAATTAATCTGGTTGTGTGCCATAAAGGGTTTTAAAGGGATAACCAACATGTCAAATTGTATCCAAAAGCAATGTAATTTGGTCAGACTTGGTGCATCCTAACTGCACACCACACCACTGTATCCTGAAGCAGTTGAAATATTTTTCAAGGGCAGCCCCACGTTAAAGCACACTGTAGAAATCCAGTTGGGAAGTGACTAAGCGAGAAGGACCTCCTCATCCAGGAATGGACACAAGATGGATTTGAGCAAAAGGTCCTCCTAGCCATAGTTGCCACCAGTTCTTCAAGCAGGAGCTATGAATTCAGGAGAACTCCCAAATTGTGCACAAACTCAGCTTGGGGAAATTATTGAGAGTTAACAATGAAAAATCTTTAGATCCAAGGAAGCCCAAATCGCAAGCTAGTCTATCTTGCTAGAGCTGAGTTACAGCTGGTTCTTCCCATCCAGTCCCTTACTACCTCCAGGCACTTGGTAAGTACCTTGACGTCATTACTTGTCCATGCACAGGTGGAGCTGTATGACAATATACTGATATTTTACCCTGGGCCACTGGATATTCTTATCTAGTGGTTTCATGCAGAAGTTAAATAAGAGGGGGGCGGGAAGGAAGAGAGAGGGAGAGATGGAGAGAGAGAAAGAGAGAAGTATCTTGAGACATCTCAAACACGAGCTAAAAACCTCTCCACACCAGCACTGACACAAACCAGCCCTAGAGGAAGAAAAACTATTGCAAAAGAGCGTTCCCACTACTCATCCCATAAGCTGATCCAGAAGGATATCATGACTGATGGTATCAAAAGATGCTAAGAGATCCAGGAGGGTAAAAAAAAGCTATCTGCCCTGCATGCTAGGATCCAAAGGTCACACACAAGTACAATCAATGCCATCTTGATATTATAAACTGGCCTGAAACCTGATTGAAAAAGATTAAAATAATCCATATTGTTCAGAGCCCTTTGAAACTATTTACCATATTTTCAACAACATTCCCCGAAAGTGAAAGGTTAGAGATTGAACAAAGGTTATTCAACACTGCTGAATCCAAGGATGACAAGGCGGTAGACCTATGTCTGTTTCAAGGCAGTTGTAACCACCACCAACTCCTACAAAGAGGCATTTACCACCTCATGCTACCTTGCAGAGGACTTGATCAACCAGGGAACATTTGGATCCAGAATACAGGTGACAAAGCTCACTAATCTAAGGATCTCATCACTTATTCTGTACTAACAGGTGAAGCTCTTTCCAGATAACAAGACAGCATGGTGGCTTAGTCATTTCTATAAGAGCTGCCCAGCCACAGCAACTCAGAGCAGATCTAAGTAACTTTAGTATAATAGATGCTTATGTCAGATTAACTCTCTGACCCCAGCACTGACTGGCTGAAACAGCTAATAGCTCCTTGATATCATTAAATGTATTGAGTGTACAGAGCCACTGTTAACTTTGCAAGCCACTTATTCTGATTCACTATAAAATTACAGATTTCAGTACTAGGTCTGGATACAAAAGCTTAGTGGCCATCACTGTAACTGAACTTTTTGGGTGCATATTTACATTAAGTGATTATTTTTACTTTTGTCCTTCCATATGCATGTGAAAGAATGCACTGCACCCAACAAACTGCCAAACATCTCTAGCGCTTCTGGGCCTATCAACACTACCAGCTGCAACACTGCCAAAGAGTTGATTGAGATATCAGGTATTCTTTGTGACCTGTGATTATTTTTAATTTATCTATTGAACCATTTTTCCTCTATGAGTTGTGTAGGCTTGTTCCACATGCAACCATACTGTGTAAGATAAAATATATTGTCTTAAAACAATATCCTAAAATTACATTTTGAATTACACAATTAAAAACAATAGATTTATTCTTAACACGTAAAATTTCACATTATAATTAGTTATATAATGTACAACTTAGAAGACTGACAGGATATATATTTGCCATTAATTGATAAAGAGGTATGGTTTACTTACTCTGTGAAATACATGAGAACAAGAGAGCAACACCTGTTCAGAAATAATAAAATCATTTTGAGATTTCAATTTATCCAAGAATCCCCTCTATTCTTACCAACAGCACAATAATTAAATAATAGCCTTCATTGCAGAAAGAACATATTAGTGTTAATTACATTATCTAAATTTTATTACATTTTAGACTTAAGCACTGCATTCCCACCCCCCAATGATTGTTAAAATGCTTTGGGAAAAGACACAAGTTGGCATCCTAAAAGCCAAGGGCATAAGGTGAACCATGAGTTCCTGAATACATAAGACCAGCTTCTTCCAAGAACAGATGGACCTTAAAGTCCTTGTCTCTAACAGCTATACAAAATAATCTTTAAAAAGTGGAAAGAATGCTGCTGATTATTTGCTTTTTTGGAGAAGAGATTATATCATATTCATGGTCAAGGGAAGTCCAGTGTTCTCTGAACATTAGCAACTCACATAAAAAAACTACCCTCTCCATATGATTAAACACAAGTTAATTTACCAATGAAGGAGAATATTTGTAGCCCAAGGTTGAAATGATGGGTCCTTGGTGCTCTCTGAGCTTGCTTGGTTCCTTGCAGACATTTTATTACCCTAAGTACTTTGGCCACCTAATGAGAAGGAAAGACTCACTGGAGAAGGGCCTAATGCTGGGAAAGATTGAGGGCAATAGAAGAAGGGGACGACAGAGAATGAGGTGGCTGGATGGAGTCACTGAAGCAGTGGGCATGAGCTTAAATGGACTCCAGAAGATGGTAGAGGACAGGAAGGCCTGGAGGAACATTGTCCATGGGGTCGCACACGACTTCGCAACTAACAACAACAAAGGTAACATCATCAGTGCACTGATGATGTTACCTAGTTAGGGTATTGAAACATCTGCAAGAAAACAAGCAAGCTGAGAGCACCAAGCCTCCCCCATGAGTTAATTTATTTCATTTTTTTCCCCATTGGTAATTTTGTGTGTGTGTTTCACGAGATTCCAGGACTATAAGATGCTTTGGATCCAATCTGGAATTTTGCAGCTTTGGTGAGGAAACTGGAAACTGACTGGAAACAGCAGCAGCAGCTGCTTTAATGTCTTGCAGACAGGTGCTACATAGATGCCCTTATGTATCTGAAAGGCATCTCTTCAAAGTTGAAATTACAGTGTTCCCAGTTCTATCAGATATACAGGTATTCCTCAACTTACAATCCGAATAGAGTGTACAATTATGGTTGTAAGTCATGATGGCTGTTCAGTGAGTCAACACATGACTGTACTTGATATTACCTTTATTGCAGCAGCTGAGTGGTGTGGTTTTTAAACAAACACCATGGTTGTTAAGCAAACACTGTATCGTTGAGGAAACCGACTGTTTACTATGAAGTTTCACCAGAAACCAAAAGTAGAATACCAATTCTATTAAAAATGTTGTAAATTGTGGCCACGAGTGCAGACGTTACCAAGATATAGTGAAATGATTGGAGGAGAGGAGAGTTTTTGGACGTCTTCAAACTGGTTGTTAAGCAGCCAGTCGTAAGTTGAGGACTATCGCTATTCCATAATATTAAAGGAGGCAGATAAAATACCTGTGGCTGAAGTGCAAATTCTTCTTTGCATATAGCACAAGGTTGAACAGAATCTCCTTGTTTTATGGATCGTTGCTTGACATATCCCCATTCCTCTAGAGTTAGTGGCATAGCAGGAAGCTCCACCAATCCAAACTTCTGAGCTGTAAGTAAAGTCCAGCAAATGAAATAGACTCACAATTTGTTTCATTATAGGATCTTCTGTGTGACAGTGCATATTTAATATTTCTACTATAAGCATTTTTATGGCCAGTAATGTTATTTGGGGATAAAGTTGAATTAACTCATATTTAATTATAAATCTAAATAAGTAAATTAGTAAATTAGTAAATTCAATGAAAGTAATTGAATAACAATAATTTCATAAATTGCAGCTTACATTTTATGGGATGGTTTATTTTGGAAAGAATGAAACCTAATGGGAGAATTCTTAGGGGCAACAGAAATGCACAACTTTTCTTGTAAATAAATCATCAAGAATCACTGCTGACAGAAAAAGAACTAGCCATAACTAGAATGTGTACAAATGCACAGAAATATCCATATTTCATACATGCGTAGTATCTTAATGTAACATTTTATTTCATCAGATATGAAATCCCCTGCATATCTGCTTAGGAAGACATAGTATAAAATGGATATTCCCATGTATGAATGTACAATATGCTGTACAGAATTGGAACTAAATTTGCTTAAGCCCTCCTTGTTCAAGTAAGCAGATGTGCCATATGACAGAGGAATTTGACAGGTATGTCACATTTTTCTCAGGCAACCAAGACTTCTGGATTCCACACTGGGGTTTCTATCCGAAAGAATGTTTGCAAGACTGGGCGATAATGAGCAAAACCCAAAACAAACAAACAAAACCTCAACTAAAATTAAACAGGTCACCTTAATATCTTATTCTCTAGATTTCAAACCTGTTTTGTTACTTAATTTTTTTTATTTGCCTACTTCAGCACAGAAACTACTTCATAATATAGTATTTTTTTTAAGACAAATACTAATTTGGTCATTTTAATTTTCCTAGGAATCAAGAGTTTATCTATTTGAATAGATGTGATTTAAAGAAATCACTCAATGAACAAGTAAACTGATTATAAAAATAGTTAAACAAAGCATTATTTAAACACGTTCATAAATCTTCCTTATTTTGATAGTTCTTAAATGTTCTGCAGTGATAGTATTCCAACAGGGCAAAACTGGGAAATCTGTGAATATTTGAATATTGTTGAACTATAAGTCCCACCAACTCCAGGCTGTTCTCTTCAATGTGTATCAAATGTTCCAGTTTGTAGATATAGGCGGATAGTTGAATCATCTAATTAACCTACTAATGTACATTAGCACACACATACAAAAATATATCTTCTATATCTGTCTAAATATTTATAGGACTGCAGAGCTGGGCTTTCAAATTGAATGATCTTGAAACAGAAACACACTGCTTTAAAAAAAAAAAAAAAAAGAACGGATGGGAGGCAAAACAGGAGGCAGAAGGTGTTTATTTATTTATTAAATTTATATGCCATCCAGCTCACTATCAAGCAACCTTGAGAGGCTTACAATGTTAAAAAAAACAATAATATAAAACAATTAAATCATTAAAACATTAAGTATTAAAATTAAAACTTTAAAATTAACAAAAAAAACCTGGTTAAAAAGGGACCAATATGTAAATAAGTAGAAGTGGGATTCTAATTTTCTAACCAATTCTAGAGTAGGGTGCCCTCACCAGGAGCCCAAGCCATATGGTAGAGCCAGGTCTTCAGGGCTCTATGGAAGGCCAAGAGGGTGGGGGTGGATGTCATCTCAAGGGGCATGAAGTTCCAAAGGGCAGGAGCCACGGCAGAAAAGGCTCATCTCCTGGACCCTGCCAGCCAAAATTCCTTGGTGGACACAGCATGCCTCTTCCGCTGGAGTGAGTGGCAAGCCAATCACATTGGTATGAGATGGTAGCCTAAACCAGGGGTAAGCAACTTTGGCTCTTTTGACTCGTGGACTTCAACTCCCAGAATTCCTGGGCCAGCATGGCTGGCTCAGGAATTCTGGGAATTGAGGTCCACGAGTCATAAAAGAGCCAAGGTTGCCTACCCCTGGCCTAGACCATGCCACAAAGTGTTGCCTAGCTCAATCCATTTCTTTTTGTGTTTGTGTGCCTTCAAGTCAGTCTTGATGCCTGGTAACTACATGAACAAGTTCCTGTAGATTTCTTGGAATGTTTCGCATAAGTGATTTGCCTTCTTCCAAGGCTCAGAGAGGGCTACTGGCCCAAGATCACCCAGATGTCTTTCTTGCTTAAGGAAGGACTTTGCTATGGTACACCATCTTCTAGTTTCCATCCTGTGTCTCAACCATTACATCAAACTACCCCGAGAGATCTCTACTAGTGATTTAAAAGGATGAAATCTCTTGTAAACAAAAATTTAAAAAGTGTAATAGTAGCAGCTCGGTAGTTCTTCCTAGTTATTAGTCAGACCATGTAATGTTATTATCTCATGACAGTGTAATATGTTGCCGCTGCACCTCCTGTTTCCCCAGGCGAAAACTTATGCATCCATCTCTTTTATTATAATACAGTAAGTCTCTTGTTTCTTGATTTGAAGTTGGATGTCTTTAGCTACAGGCATTATTCATGGATTTGCCCCCAAACCATTACAAAAACACAAGTTGTAAATTTTTGAGCAAAGGGTAGTTAAAGGTGAAGGGTTGTTTTTAATAAAAACAAACTATGCCCAACCTAGTAAATGAATTTTTCTTTTTTTGTAAAAACAACAGTTGCCCAAGTACGTATCCCAATTATAGTAGAAGGCAACTCTAGATGGTGCTAATGTAGTTTCACTGGGTGGTAGACTTGCTTCTTTCTGTATGAAGACTTTCCTTCCTAATGGCAAAAATATTTGTTTTGGCACTAAAGTCTTTTGCTATTGATCACAGTGAAAATAAATTTAACATACATATCAGGTGGTATCAGGGTGAAGAAAAAATTCATTCTTTAAGTAATTCTCCTTAACTTGGTGGCATTACCTTTTATTTAAGACAGATTCATTAGATTTTGATATTTTATGGGGTTATTTAATGCAATATATTCCTGTTCTTTTTTCAGATTCCTCTTTATGTAAGCAAAGAGAGAATGTAATATCAACGACAAAATCATCAGCAATGTTTGTAATGTTAATGATGTTAATGTTATTTTTTTTAAATCACTTAAAAGTTAGTGATTCTTCACCCAGTTCACACGTGTTTCTCACCCAAAATAAATTATACTGAGTTGCTTTTATATAATGCTCAGGATCCAAAATGTGTAGCCAAAGGAAAAAAAAATACAGTAATTGCTTTTTTTCCCTCCCTGCTTGTAACTTTCCAAGAAATATCTATCTGCTGCAAACCTAAGCTGAAAAAGAAAGTAAAAAAAAAATGCTTGTAAGGACAAGGGGTTCTTCAAACAGCTGTTCTTTTATTGTGATGCTATTGTGCCATATGGAAAAAAGTATCTATTTATTATAATATAACTAATTATTTAGTTATTTATTAAATTTACATGCACCAAATCCTTCCATACCCAAGAGGCATTAAACATTTATTAAAATCAAACAAGAACAGACTGGAAAATTAAGATTTTACCTAAAGTCAGAGGCTGAGGACACGGATCAAGGACATATTCTTTCTCTGGATCTTCATTTTGCGGGTTATTTTGGTTGTTTGGCTGTTTGTTTGTTTTTTTTAATCCAGTATCTATAACTGCTCTGATTTTCTCCTTGTTCACAGGCCTGTATTTATTTTTTTTACTCCATGTCTTTGACTTTAAAGGATCTGCTAATGAAAGATTTTGCAGCTGAAGATCATGTAAAATATGATCTTGTAATGCCACAGCAGTAAGTGCTACAGACTCTGGCTTGTAGGAACTCCCCTAAAATAAAGTTTCATAATTATTTTTATAAATTACTGTTATATATGAATGATATGTATAGCACATTAAACAACAAAAGAAATTCAGCCTTTAGCCAATGATTTTTTTTAGCCTGACAGAACCTTTATGCCCATACAACTCCCATGTTTGAAGTCTTACTAATATACAATTACCACAATATGAAACATAAGATTGATATTTGACACATCCCACTTTAACTTATATAAAGGCAAAAAGAAATCTTTGATTTATCATTTATATTAAATAAAATAGCAGCAATTTTAAACTTTTAATTACTGAAGCCATAATTATTGTGTGCAATAAACTCATTATGAACTATAAAAGTTTGACATGCCTAAACATATTTTGTTTCAGTGTAATTAAAAATAAAACCTAAGGCTACTTCTCTCTTCCAAAGCAACTGCACATTAAAACAATTATAGGAGTAGATAGTATTTTATATGCATTAAATTGGCCTATTTATAAAGCTTTTATTTTCAAAGCTCTTTCTCAGCATGTGTTTTACAAGTATAAGATCTGTGCACCTTGAAATATTTCTTTTGCATCATGGAATAGAGGGAGTAATAATTTCTTTATCTTCAATATACAAAGAGGTCCTGCACGCACTCCAAATTAGTACAATCCTAAAAACAAGCAAACAAAAAACATTGAATATTATAAACAGCATGGTAATTAAAATATACGGTTGGTGTTTGCAGATAGTCCTTGACTAATGGCCACAATTGAGTCCAAAATTTCTATTGCTAAGCAAGGCAGTTCTTAAGTGAGTTTTATCTAATTTTAAGAGGTTTTTTTTGCCATAGTTGTTAAGTGAATCATGTGGCCATTAAGTGAATCTGGCTTGCCCCATTGACGTTGCTTGTTGGAAGCTGGCTGAGATCACAAATGGTGATCACATGACCCCGTGATAGTACAAGTGTTATAAATATATGTCAATTGCCAAGTGCTCAAATTTTGATCACGTGACCCTGGGGATGCTGCAATGGTCCTAAATGTGAAAAACAGTCATAAGACAGTTTTTTCAGTGCTGTTGTAACCTTGAACAGTCACCAAATAAGTGGCTGCAAGTTGAGGACTACCTATATCTTATACTTTGATGTATGTTTTTAGCACTCTGTTAGTATAATGTAAAAGTTCTTGGGAGAGAGGCCCAGTTCTGAGTTTATACTTGCTATTGATTTGGACAAAAACGGTATAAGGAAATGGGCTTTTCTTTATTAGAGGTACTATGGTTTGTCACATAGTCAGCCAGATGTTTAAACTGGATTTGACATTTTTGTCTGCCTATTGAGTCCTTCCCAAGGATCTGGGATAAGGGGATGGGGATCTCTTAATGGTGTTAGAGGTATTGTTGCATTTATTATTATTTGTTAAAATTATTTGCCACCTATCTTGCTGCAGGACTACTCAAGGGGGCTTACCACAATAAAAAGAAAGAAATTAAAAGGGTGTGAACAGAACAGAAATAAAATAAACAATGAAAAAGAACACAATGAGAATATATCAATACAATAACCAAAAAAATGGAGGGGAGCAGAGAGCAAGGGGGAGAGGTGGGATCAATCCAGCAGCTATCTCCAGAATGGAAATCCCCCCATCTGCTCCCCTGCCCAACTAGCAAAGCCAGGTCTTCAGGTCTTGCAGAAGGATAGGAGAGGAGGGACAATCTTACTTTAGAGCAGCGACTCCCAAACTTTGGGGCATGAGGAAGCGGTTCCATGGATGGAGGTTTTTCCACAGACCAGAGGGGGCATAGTTTCACATGCTGCCTGCATCGCACAGATGGGGCTTCGCTTGTTTGCATGGCCCGGTTGCAACCTAGTGCCAGACCATGGACCGGGGATTGGGGGACCCCTGCTTTAGAGGGTAAGAGGTTCCAAAGGGCAGGCGCTGCGGCAGAAAAAGTTCTTTTTCTGGAAATCGGACTTCTTTGACCCCAGGATCCAAAGTAGGCCCTTTCTGCTGGGATAAGTAGAACTAAAGGACTCTTATACTAAAACAAACTCTCTGTAGCCATATGACATACGAGTAAATATTTTAATGTTACTTCTATTAAAATTTATTTATCTGGATGAATTTGCTATTTATGTTTTATTGCAATCTAAAACTTAGTTTAATAAAGGATACTTGAGTATCCTTTTGGACTAGAAAATCAGAAAAAGGTATCATAAATATTAGAGTTCAAATGATTTTTACTATTAACCTGCAATAAAACATCCATTAAGGAATTTGTATATTTCTTTCTTTTCTGCCTCTGGGAATCACATCTTTTAGAGAAGAGGATTCTCTTGTAAAAATCAAATATCCCATGGCTTTGAAAGCAGAGGTGAAGACACATTGACTTCTCAGCATTGGCCATTTCACTGAAGTGCTAGGAACACAGTTCAGTAGCATCTGTAAAGCCACATTTTCCCCAATTCTGTCTCAGAGTAAAGAAGCTCTCTGCAGGTTACTTTTCTTTGTACTTTTTAAAACAATACTGGTGCAAGAATGGGCTTCTTCTAAGAACAAAATGCTATCTATTTAAAATTAATATTTCTACTTGCCTAGTTTCTTTGCCATCATTGTCCACTGAAGCAAAACTTAAACACAAACAATGCAAAGGAAATATCCTTTTCCTCTATTATCTTCTATCATCACTTAGCACACCAAGGTCATTGGGGCAGGGATCCATTTTCCTTTTTACTGTAAAATATTATTCACACATAGCAACAACAACCATCAAAGTTATGGCCTTTTAAGAGTAAGTACTTTTCCTATCCTGCAATCTGGCACATTTAGTATTGTAACTGTTTTAAAATATTATATGGCATATCGAAAATAACTTGCACTGACTCAATTTTTAAAGTACATTAAATAGAATCAGTAGAAAATGCAATTTTGGTACAGTAAATTAGTGTGAAATAAGATTTGATTGTGACCTGGATTCAGGTATTTCACTGAATTATTCATTGTTCACAGAGCATTTACAGGGCTGGGACATATTGCATTTTCCTAGAAAAGAGAATTGAAGGACATGACATTGGCTTCTGCTACTAGTCTGACCAAGGACTGATCATGGATCATCTACTTTCCTTCGTTGCAAAAGGACGAACAATTTACCTTCTATCCAGTGCCATAGAAAGGAGCTATGGCTTCTTCTCCATCTTAATTTCTCTTTCTTTTGTATATTTACATTGTGTGGTGAATCTGTATGCCCAGCTTTATTTCCTTCCTTCTTATGTACAGTGCTTAATAGTTGGATGGGAAATCAAGCTTGGGAAGTGCATGTGTTAGATGGCCTGCCATACCTCAAACATTGGGGATTGAAATTCCAACACCAATCATGATTGGTGGAGGATTTGAAGAACATGAGGGCATCCAGTTGCCCCCAATCTTTACTGCCTTGAATATGAAAACTCCCCAATCCCACCCCAAGGATGAGGCCTTCAATGCTACCCTATGTTGGGACACTAATCTACAACGATAATGGCAACCTATAATATAGTGTTTTTCAAACGTTGGTCACTTGAAGATGTGGGGACTTCAACTCTCAAAATTTCCCTAACCCTGCCAGCATGCTAGCTGAGGAATTCTGGGAGTTGAAGTCCATGCATCTCAAAATGCCAAGTTTAAAAAAAACACTGCTATAATAGGTATCCCTTGCACTTCTTCCATTTTCTTCGTGCCCCCTCCCTCCTGCCCCCAAACACTTGCCGCCACCTCAGGCGCTTCTGGGGCTAATATAATTCTGAAGGCGTCCTTCTCTCTCTTCAGGAACCAGAAACACTCACTTCCACTCCCTGCAGATTCTTTGCCTCTTGCTGCTGTTGCTGCTGCTGCTGCTGCTGCCGCCCGGCTCGAGCGCTCAGCAGGTTGCTAAGCGACCAGATTCACACGAGCCCCGGAAGGCCGGGCGATTCTCTTTGGGGCGCGCGCGCGCGCGCGCGCGCGAAGGGACGCGCAGGCCCCTGCCTGTCTTCTCACTGCCTCGCGCGCTTCCTCTCTGGGGGAGGGGGCATTTGGGCGGGGCCTCCCGGAGGCCTCTCGCACCACGTCTGCCAGGTAGCAGCTGAGGAAATCCAGGTGGAAGTGTGTTGCCTCTTTGCAGCCACCTAGGGGTCGTCTGGATGTTTGCAGCCCAGATTTGATAACAGTTTGCAGCTGAGGAGGGATGCTGGGACACCTGGTGAGCTTCGCCCTTTAGGCTTTCCCCCAGGTTTGGTGGCTTTGAGATCTGGGGTGAGATAAGATGAGTCTCTAGGAGTGAGAGATCCTTTTCTCTGGAAGTCCCTTCTCAGCTGCCAGGAGCTGTTTTCCCAAGCTTCTTCATTGGTGCTCTAATGAATCCTTATTACCTTAGATTTTGACCGCTGCTGCCTAGTTTGTCTGATGTCGTTATTTTTTATTTTATTTGATTTTATTGGTTATGTTTAAACTTAATTTGGATTTTTTTTAAATCTTTGGCGTGTTTATTGTAAACTGCCCAAATGATCTGCAGCTTTTGGGTGGTTTAATTAAAAAAAACAATTTTTTTAAAGATGATGTAGCATTGAATATAAGGAACTATAAAAATAGCGTCCCTCAAATGAAGCTCAAATGATCTGCATCTTTTGGGTGGTTTAATTAAAAGAAACAATTTTTTAAAGATGATGTAGGCTTGAATATAAGGAACTATAAAAATAGCATCCATCAAATGAAGCTCAAGTCCTGATGACTTCATAGTGCAGATTTTTCCAAACTGTATGGTTCCCAATAGGTTTTTTGACTGACTTCTTACCCAAGATATATCCAAGGACAACCAGGTCCAACTGTATTTAATCTCTTTATTGAAATTAACCAAGATCCATTAGGTGCTGTACCTATGTACTTGTAAAGGATTCATTAAAAAAATGGATGAGTAGGCATACAGAATGCCATCCTACATAAGCCATGGTTTATTTATCCATAATTTATTAATTAAATCAGAACTGGCAGGTTTGCACAAAACACTAAGCCATCAACATACAACGAAAATTTTCTCAAATTTTCATATAGTTTCGTAAAACATATTTTATCTGAGCATACCAACATATTCCTCTTTCTTGTTAAAGACACCTTTTCTGGATGCTATCCAGCTATTTTGGATTGTTGACATGGGATTAGGGCAGGGGTAGGCAACCTTGGCTCTTTTATGACTCGTGGACTTCAACTCCCAGAATTCCTGAGCCAGCCATGCTGAGGGGAAAGGGAGAGTTTCCAAGCTGAGCCATGCTGGCTCAGGAATTCTGGGAGTTGAAGTCCATGAGTCACAAAAGAGCCAAGGTTGCTTACCCCTGGATTAGGGGAACTGAAACTTAAACAGTGGGAAGACATCAATCTGAAAAAACCCTTCTCAGGTCAGCTAGTTTAAATAAGATTCATGATTTGCATGCAGAAATCTTCTTTAATTCCCATTTGAAAAAATTCATTGAAATTTTTGAGGACTGTGCAACTGTTGATTAAGTCATGTTTTTGTGACATTCTGAGAAAAAACAACTTTATTTAATATACCTTCCTTGCATAGGTTTTATCAATGACGGTTTTTAATCTGTATTCTACATTATGCATTTATCTCATTTAGTGATTTAAAGTGTGTCTTTAAAATATGAATTTCATAAACCAATATTCATTTAGTATGTTTGATATTTATTTTATATATGGGGTTTTCCCCCCCTAGTTTGAGGATTCCAGTATTTTACTCTAGCCTAGTAGGATTTTTGGCTCATTTTTTTTCAATATGTAGTCAATATTCCTCTGGCATTTAAAGACAAACAAATTGATTACACTATAAGCAACAAAGAACTGAAACTATTCTTTCAAAAGCTTGATGATGATGATGATGATGATAAACTAGAAGCTTTTTGGTGTTTTTATTCTTTTTTTGCAAATGCTATTTACTTAATATTTGTGATCATTTCTATGCGTTAGTTCTGAAAAACACTCAGGATGATTCAGTGGAATAAAATTATATATACCATTATTGATGACTAACAGTGAAATTGAAATATTAGCATTCTTGGAGCAACTGCCTCTTTGCTTACTGAAAATAATTTCTGAAACTCATTTTGATATCAACAGGGATTTGCTATGCAACAAGGAAGGAGAGATGGGGATTTTCTTAGAAAACACACAAATAAAACCTTATGGGTATACATTACATAGCTGTGGGATTCAAATTCTATGCTTAGCTGTAAGATTGTTTGCTAGATGTAACTTAGCATGTTTTGTGAACTCAGCTAATTATTAAACAAATCATGGTCTAATATAGTGTGAATCAATGAATTGTATGTTTCTTTGGGTTTAGATCAAATTGTTTCATTTTAACATCTCTACCACCATTTAGTCAAAAATTATAGTAAGATTATATTAATATTATAAATAATATATGACACAGATAAAGACTACATAAACATTTATGCATAGAACAAGCATAAGAACTGTCTGATCTGTCTTTTTTTGAGGATAAAAATTACAAAGATTGTTCTGTGAAGAACAAATAATTGTTTCTATGTTGGAAGTTCAGATTTAATTTTCTTAGCACAGTTTGCTTCCAGTGTACTCACTGAATTCACACATAATACTAAGTTAGGATTTGTTTTCAGTGTTGCTTATTGAATAAACCACAATTGGCTGCATTTAGATGTTAATATGCTAAGTCACAGAAAAGCAAACTACATATTTGTTTAATATGAAATATGGGCTCAGGTGTTCCTTTGCAATTCTGTAATACTACATCTATTATTATGTAACTTTGGGTAGACTGCAGCCAGCCAGTCAATTAATCAATCATTCAATCTAGCCATTTGCCCGTCCCTCCCTCCAGTGATTTCCATACTGATTGCTTCGAAAGACTGGAAGTCAGTTTATAATATAACAAAAATAAAACCATTTGTGAACCAACATAAAAGAGATGATCAATTACAAAAATAATCAGATCTATTACATCAATTAATTGATCAATTATATTTATTTTGTCAATGGCCCATAAAAAATATTGCCTTCGCCAAAACTCTGTGGAACAATGATTCCCTATCGCTTTGTGAAAAGCAAGCCATATCTTGTATAATCAAAGAATGTACAGTAATGTATTTGCATGGTGTATTTTACGTGGATTGAATTTCCATGATCAGATTTCCTTATAGTTAAATTTTGGCTTTGCTTTCCAATTCTATGAAACATATGCCCAGATTTGTGGTATGTCATAATAAATAAAGTTTTTTTAAATGTTATTTGTTTGCTGAATACTAACATATTATTTTATAAATAGACTTTTATAGTATGCAATTGTAGAGAACATATTGAAGCAGAGAAAATGTTTTAAAAATCAAGATGTCTCCTTTAGGGAAACCAGAACTGTATTTTCTGAGTTTTGAAAAACTTAAAACGGATAGGTTGATTTCATTTTTGGCAACCTATTTAAAATATTGAAAAGATTCATTGCTTGATCATGAAGTGAATGTGTAGTTTTTAGCATCTTAGGCTTCAGAGTTAAGGCAGAAAAGAGACGATTCTTTCTTTCTTTTTTGGTTAACTAAAGCAATTTTTTGTTTGCTTTGCTATGTCAAACAAAGCAAGCTATTTGTCACTGTGGTTTGTGTATTTTTTTTAACAGCTTTCAACTTTGATCTGAAGCAAAGTGCACTGGTAGAAAAGATGACAGAAGTAACAAATCCACAATGTCTGTTGTCGCTCAGACAAACTCTTTAAGTCAATAAAGGACGAGATTTAGAGGTAGAAAGCCATCTGACTTAGGATGAGGCTTGTGCATGCTTGTGAGAAAATGTAGACCTTTGCCTCCCTTCGTTCAGACAAAGGTGTGGGGAAATTTATTAGCCAGGAATTCAGTCCAGTATGTACAATGAAAAGGTGCCTCATTTAGGCCTGGGTTTTGCTTGCTTTTCCAGGCAAACAATCCCATTTTAAAAAGCAGCACTGATCTAGGCTTGTGTCTTGTAACAGCTGTTTTATTCAAAGTGTCAGCCCATGCTTTGGTGATTTCAGAGTTGACACTGATGTCTTTTAAACATTACATTTTGAATTATATTCAAATTATAAGTAATTTTTTAAAATTGATCAAAGGAATTTTGCCCAGTATGTGTAATGATGATGTCACTGAAGGAATAAATTAAGCCCCAAAGTTCTTATTTGATACTGACCCCAATACATTGATCCATATTTGATTTTTCAAGAAGTTTTGTAAACCTATTTTTATAATCTTTATTGAGATTAACTTTCCTGACTACACAGTTGAATACAGGCATGGCTGCTCAAATGGACAATGGGAAGTACAAAGGTCAAATGGATGTCACTTCAACTGAAAAAAAATGTTAAGAAATGTCTTCAAACCTGATGGTGATGTTATTCATTCAGTCATGTTTGACTCTTGGCAACTCTATGGTCCAGGTCTCTCCACATCTTACAATCTTGTACTACTTCTTTGAGTGGTTTTATGTTCTGGTTGGTGTCAGCTTTGTTGGTGTCCAGCCACTGTGTTCTTTGGTGGCCTGGTTTCCTTTTGCCACTAACTCTTCCAGGCATAATTACTTTCTCCAGTGAATTCCCCCTCCAGTGAATGATATGGCTAAAATAAATGACATAGTTTTGTGATTTTGCCTTCAAGGGACATATCTTGTTGGTCACCTTTGCTGTCCATGGAATACATAGGAGCCTTCTCCAGCACCATAGCTCAAATGAGTTGATTTTCTTCCTGTCTTGCTTTTTTTAGATCCAACTTTCACAACCCAAGTAGCTACCATAGAGGATGCTATTCTAAGAGAAGAAACTTTCTGGTGTCAGACCAATATACTGGATTGCGTAGGTTTGAATCAGAATGAATCTTATGCATGCTATTCTGAAGTAGTCTTAAGAAAGAATAATTAGCACTGATACCAGTGAACCTTATTTTAGTGCAAAAATATTTGTATTGCTGGTGGTGTTTTCAGGGCCTGTTTCTTAACTGGTATTTCTGAAGGATAATCTATGGTCCAAGACTACTGCTATGAGACGCAATGTTTACCTTGTATTGGTGGTGTCTACACTGACTCTCAGAATTCATGAATAAATTAGTAAGGCTGAGGACTGGCTTCGTTGGAACATCATTTTTGAGGAAGGAGAGCAAATTGGAGGATTATTCCTTCCAATCCTAAAATCACAAGTCAGCAGTTCATTTGATCAAATTCAAATTCAAATTTATTTGATTTATATACCGCCCTTCTCCCTTGCGGGACTCAGGGCGGTGAACAGGCACATTAATAAAACAGCAATACCATAATATTTAAAAATATTTAAAAATCATTCTAATATTGTATATGTTGTCCAAAGGGGGCTACTGAAAAAATAATTTCCCAAATGATTGTTTCTCCATTTGAGCATCAGGGCAACAGACCTTTTCCTACTGTTGCTTGCTAAAGATTATATTCTTAATAAGTGGCACAAAAAAGTTGGTAAATAGGATTTGTTTACTTGAGGGACCTTCTGTTTCCTCTAGTATTTGCCTGGACAATCTGATCTGGCAGGATTGATGTATACCAGATTCCTTTGATTAAATGTCATCTATTGGGACCCCAGAAGTGCACCTTCTCTGTTGGAAAGCCTGGCCTCTGGAATCTCCCCCCCTCCCCCCCAAAAGAATCCAAAAGCCTTTGACAAATGAAGTTGAAGCCGTGTTTCTTTTTCTTTCTTTGTTCTCATTTGGATTTGTTGACTCATCACCATTTGTATTCTGTTTTATCTTTCCCCCCCCCTTGGTTTTAAGTCTTTTAATAATTTGTAAACTATGCAGAGTTGCTGGAGTCAAATAAGCAACAGATACAATTAATACATGTGTTTTTATTTGTACTTTAGTCTCCGCGCAAAAGTGAAGTGGTTACTGTCCAAGCTTAGTCTATACCTTAATTACCCCTATTCTCCCAAATTAAGCTTATGGTAGAAAGCTCATACATCTGTGTGCTTCTTAAAATTATTTATTATTAAATTTATATGCTGTCCATCTCACCATCAATGGATTTTGGAGGGCTTATAATATTATATCCTTAATTTTCAGCTTAATTCTGAAAAAGGAGTAAGAGTCAATTAAAGAATTCAGTGATATAGTGAACAATGGCAGCAAACAATTCTAAGATGGTCAGTAAGATGAATGAAAAGTGTGGGATTTTTTTTAGTTGAGAAAAGTATGTTTAATTAGCTATTCCCAGCTTTGCCTGGGGAAGGGAGGATTATTATTCTGATATTTCTAAGTACTATTGCCTCAGGTCACTTCATATTAATTGTAAATAGAATTTTCATATTTTCTGTCTTGAGTTCCTCAAATATATCTGTCTTGTAGAATTATCTGCAGACCCCTCACATCCTGGACATAAACTATTTCAACTTCTTCCCTCAAGACGACGCTACAGGGCATTGCACGCCAGAACGACTAGACATAAGGACAGTTTTTTCCCCCATGCTGTCACTCTGCTTAACAACTAAGTCCTATAACACTGTCAAAATACTTAGTAAAACTATATTACTATAATACTCCTCATCTTTCCTATTACCTATCCTTATCTTCTGATGATTATAACTTTGTTGCTTGTATCTTACAATTTATATCGTTTTTAAGTATCCTAGTATGATTTATGTTGTTTGCTTAGCTAGTATTCTATGACTATCACTAAGTGTTGCATCTTATGATTTATAATTAAGTGTTGTATTTCACGATTTATGATGAATGTATTTTCATGTTGTATACGATCATGATTATCGCTATTACTTATATGTACACTGAGAGCTTATGTACCGGAAACAAATTCCTTCTGTGTCCAGCCACACGTGGCCAATAAATTCTATTCTTCTTCTATTATTCTTGTCACCTGTGAAAGTTAATGTCTTCCTTCTTTATCAGCAGAGGGTGCTCTATGTGTGCGTCGTGTGTGTGTGTATGTGTGTGTGTGCATGTGCTTTGCATGTGAGTTGCAAAAACTCTTTATGCTCAATTAAATTTGAGTGGAACTGACTGATTTCCATAGCAATTAAACTTCTTTTTACCTCACTTATAGATGAACCAATTATTTCTTTAATTTGTGTACCATTGAAAGAGACAGGCATCTTTTACTGGATAATTAGCTCTCCAACTATTCTTCCTATATTTTGGCATCGTTCTTTTAAACTATTGCTAAACAGAATTTTGAAATGTGAGTTGAGTATATATATTTAAATATTTATATAGATATCTCCATCATCTTAGAAATGAATATTTTATACAAAACCACGTGGGGCATGTGAAAGTTCGTGTGTCAGCCTCTCCAATTTTTAATATTTTATATCAACTAAATCAATTTCAAGTTGTTAAAGTGTGCTGTTTCTATTCTTGTCCCCTTCTTTTTTCTCCTAAAAAAGACTCTGGAAAAGAATTGCATCTATAGAGAAATGAAATGTTACCTTAATACAATTGGTTCCTTTGCATTTAGAAATAGGTAGCATAATAGCAACTATATTTTATTTTTCATACACTCTCATTCAATTTCCATTAATGTTTTAAAAATATAAATCGGCTCTTTGCCTTTGGTATGAAAATCTGAATATTTGGTTTCATTGAATATTTCCATTATTACTGCCCCATTAATTTGGGTGCCCGAGCCACTTGGAGCTATGTGTTTTGCTCAATTTATAAATGAATTATACATCAGAATATATTTTCTGCATATTACCAAAATCTACTTTTATATCAGCTATTAATGAATGCCGCTCATTCGATTGTGGCTGCCATTAGTTTTGAATTTGGCCTATTATTTCTTTTGTGTCTTTTTCCTTTCTAAATCTTCTTTGTCATGTTGCCTGATTATTGTATCTCTCTTGTTTGATCTATGACCATAACTAAATTAATTGTAAATGTGTGTGTATGTTTTGTGAACAGAATTAGTGTGGGTGGGATGGAGTTTTTTATGGGTTTTTATTATATGATGGATTTTTGAAATTTTGTAAGCTGCCTGGAATCACCTATATATGCATTAGACAACCATGTAAATTTGTGTAGTTATATGCAGATAAAAATGTATGTGATATTTAGATATTTTTGCTATTGTTATTTACTCTTAACAAATCAGAGGAGGTGCTACTGAAACAATTTTATTAAAATGCAAAGAGAAATGAAACGACCCCACCTTGTTTTTCAGTTTCATCTGATGCTGGCCTGATGGTGAAGCATTTGAACTTGTACTGCTATTGCAATATATTATTATTTCTTATTTAAAGTGTTAATAAGTTGAAAAAAGTGTCCTTCCGCTATTGTGGAACAACAGCTCTCAGAATTCATCCATATTGGGCATGCAGACTGGAGCTGCTGATATTCTAATCCAGGAATAATCTGAATGGCCATAGATAACAGAGGACTATCCTGCAGATTCTTCTTTTCTATAGTAACACCTGTCCTTTGGAACAAGGTTCCCCCAAAATCTGAACAGCTCCAAAGTTGCTATTGTTTAGAAGAGCCATGGAGATTGGTTCTTTACCCAGGTTTTTGGTGTGTGTGTGTGTGAGAGAGAGCCTTCATTTTGTTCTTTTCAGTCTGTGGCCCTTGCGATAATTTAGATTTACCCGTTATCTTTTATTGGTGTTATTGTAATTTTTCATTTCATTGTTGTGAAACCCTCAGAGTTATTGAGAGTTGGGTAGTATAAAGTTAAAATAATAACAATTTGTCAAAAGAACCTGCTAGTCAGTATGAAGTGATTCTTTTTAGTTAAGAGATTTGTGTCTCTGTGTTTGTGTGTGTATGAGTATGTGTACGTATGTGTATGTATATACAGTGTTTTTTTTCTAAAAAAAAAAAAAAAAAGGTGCCGGAACTCACATACGTCATACAACTTGCCTTGCCTACCCTACAAATTTCCATCCAAAAATGGTGCTGGAACTCCGTTCTGGGCGTTCTATGACAAAAAAAAGCCCTGTGTATATAGATGTCTCCTTAAAACTATTAACATGTGAAGCAATGTCGAGAACAGTCAAAATTGTGTAATTGTAATGGGAATACCTCCTGATATATTAAGGAACAAGACACCTTATTTGCTAGACGTTCAGTATATCTGACTATAAATCCTTTAATCTTCTGCAAAACCAGTTTTGTTTTCTAATGTGGGATAATGAGTAATCTGATATACACTGGGGGAGATCCACATGGGTCAAAAAAGTCAAAATGGCAGCTACAATGGCATGCAATTGAAGTCCCATCTATATTTAAGATGGTGTATGTAAAAACGGCTTGGCTTTGATTACATAATGGTAGCCACCATCTTGACTCTTTTGACCCCCCTTTAGATGTTCCTGGTTCAGATTAGGGAAAATAATTCCTGACTCCTTGCCAAGAAAGTTATATGAAGCCAGTGCTCTCCTTCATTGAAGGAAAATATGGATAGATGTGTCATAAATAGATTATTTGGTTCTAAACATTATTTCTTTGTCAGTTTTGATCTGGAGATGTTATATAATTGCACTGAGATGATAGATTAAGTTGGCAGGCAATTTACTTCAAAGAGACAAAAGTTAGGACAGCTCTTGCCTCC